CCTGCCCCACTCCCTCCTGCACTGTGGGGGTCCCCATCTGGCCCCCCCCAGCCCCTTGCCTCTCCCCTGTCCCGCCTCTCCCCCCCACACATTTATTTGCTGGGGTGAGGTGGGGGGGAGGGGGTCTGTGTGTCTGCATCTGCATGTGTCTGCATCTGCATGTGTGTGTCTGTCCCCTGCCCACCCAATGGCAGCAGTCACATGGCATTGCATGGCTCTCGAGGCAGTGGCAGTGGGGTGTAGAGTCCAGCCTGCAGCAGGAGCTACCCCCGTCCTGCACACAGATCTGGGGGGCATGTGACCCCCAGGCCTCTGCTGGGGTGTGTGCAGTGGCAGGAGCGCCCCCTCGCCCCTAGATGAGCCACCTGGGCTCCAAGCATCCCATGACCTCCCCCAGCCCCAGGGCCCATTCACTCCAGCTCCTGCCTCTGCCCCACTCCCTCCTTCACTGTGGGGGCATTGATCTGTCCCCCCATGCCACTTCCCCATGACAGACTTACCTACTGGGAGAGGGGGTGCACATGCATGCAAACGTGCTCTCACTCAGCCCCCCCGACTCAAATTTTCTTCCTGATTTTCCACTGTAGTCCCAAGGGGCAGTTCAGCATTTGTGGAGTGCCAGAGCACTGACGCAACTCAAGTGAACATGGATAAATTCCTCAAGTGCAAAAGAAAAATGGAGGAAAAAAACACAAAAGGCTATACTACAGAAAATGCAAAGCGACAGAAAGTTCTTAAGTACAGCAATACGTATTTGGAGTTCAGTTTTACATACGTGGGTCCCGAAGATAAATCCAAACCGAAGTGTGTCATTTGTTTGAAGGAATGAGTGTATGAAGCTGTCTTTATTAAAAGGACACTTGGAAACAAAGCATGCCAGCTTGGTTGGAAAATGGATTGAATACTTTGAACGGTGGCTTGAAAGTTTGAAACGTCAGAAGGAGGTGTTTACCCATTGCATTAAACTCAGCGGAAGTACTCTGAAGGCCTCATATCTGATATCGCTCAGAATTGCAAAATACAAGAGGCACATACAGTTGGAGAATCTTGATTATACCTGCTGTAGCGGACATTTGTGAAGTACTGTTTGGCAATGAGCACACGGATAAAGTTAAAAAGATACCTATTTCAGACAGTAGTGTTTCTTGAAGAATTAATGAAATGGCAGAGGATGTGGAGACGCAACTGCTTGAGAGACTGAAAACAGTCTCTACATATGCTCTTCAGGTTGACAAATCTACAGATGTAGGAAATCAGACTCAGCTGGTAGTATTTGTTCACTACATTTGGGAAAGGAAGTTGGTTGAAGACTCTTTTTGTTGTCTTGAACTGCCAACACGAACAACAGGGGAGGATATTTTTGAAGTCCTTAATCAGTACATAAGTACAAAAGGCGTTTCATGGAACAACTGTGTCGGTCTTTGCACAGATGGGGCAAGGGCTATGACTGGCAGTAGAAATGGTCTGATAGCAAGAATACAACAGGTAGCACCAAATGTTGTTTCAACTCATTGTATCTTACACAGAGAAGCACGAGTGTCAAAAAAACTGAGCCCTGACCTAAATAATGTTTTACTCTCTGTTGTAAAAATCATGAACGTCCCGATTCACCTCTGAACTCATGTGTTTTTGCTTCTATGTGTAATGAAATGGGTGCTGAGTACCCCGGCCTCATTCTGCATTCCAAAGGTTGCTGGCTGTCCCGTGGATCTATACTGAGAAGAGTGTTTGATCTGCTAGCAGAGTTAACTCAGTTTTTGCTGAAGCAGAATTCTTCATTTGTTGATTATTTCAAAGACCTCAAATGGAATGCTAAGCTAGCTTACTTGGTAGACTCATTTGATGAACTAAACAGGCTGAACACAAGCATGCAGGGACCAGACACTAATGTAATAGATCTCTGTTACAAAACGAAAGGGTTCACAGTGAAAGCAGAACGGTGGAATGAACTAGTGAAAATGGGAATAATGACGATGTTCCGTGGTCTAATGGACTGAAATGATGGAGCATCAGAAGTCGCTGACATTTCAGAGGTAATTTATAGCCATCTAACAGGGCTTGTTGCTCAGATTAACAGGTATTTTGGTGAAATGCAAAAGTCACTACAAATTGACCAGGACTGGATCAGGAATCCATTTTCAAGTGCTACCAACAAAGAAATGCTGAAGTCCAAATGTTCACAAAAAAGACAAGCTGATCAAACTGATCAAAGACAGCTTTTTACGTCAGAAGCATCAGAGTCATGGATGAAACATCTCAAGTTTTTGGTTGGACATTCAAACTGACTATCCAGAGCTTACTAGGAAAGCAGTGGAAGTCCTGCTGCTGTTTGCAACTACATATTTATGCGAGTCTGGATTTTCTGCACTGGGTGCTATTAAAACAAAACACAGAGCAAAATTAGATGTCAAAGACGAGATGAGAGTTTGTCTTTCTGATATTGCTCCAAGGATTGAGCAGCTGTGCAAGACCCACCAGGCCCAAGTGTCCCACTGAAATAGCAAGATTGAAATTACATTTGGCTTATTTGTGGATATTTTTCATTGACTTTTTATTTTTTAAGATTTTTAGCTTTAAGATGTTATTTTGATGTTAAAGGTTTTAAGTTATAAATATTAAAGGACAGTCATAGTAACTTTGTTATACAGAAACAAGTTTATGCAAACAATTGATTTAGAGTTATAATATTGTTTCCTATTGTGTACTAATCCAGCAGCATACCAGGCCCAAACATTAATAAAGCATTTAATGTTAATTGGTTTAGCCTGCCTTATATTACATAATTCAGGGGCTGTCAACCAGGGGTAACCCCCCCTGCCCCCCCCGCCTTGCTGCGCCACATCTGCTCAATCATCACCCCCTCCCCTGCTCTGTGCATGTGCCACCCCCCACCTCCCCGGGTACACTTATTAAAAAGGGGGCTGCCAGGGGTACACTTATTTTAAAAAGTTGACAACCCCTGTTCTAAAGCACTTGAGTGAGTGAACAAATGCCTGAAATTAAGCGTAGACCTTTCATGAACTTCATTGGGTTAAATAAGGAACTCAATTGAAGCTACTAAGCAACATATGAGAATACTTTGAGATTCAGCATTAAAAGAAAGAAAACAAAATATGAATTACTTCTGGTTTGAAAAAAGTTGCAGAAAGACTACCCATACCCTTACCAGCTGTGCTAAAATTGAGAAGTTAAACTTCCTTTCTTTCAAATCTAACTGGGTCCAGTGGGAGCTACTTGCATCCCTTTCCATTTTAAAAATTACAAATGCTGCATATTCTGCACTTACGCTGTGTGCCGGCTGGTTGACTATGCACTTACTCCACCTATTCTTCATAGCTGTAAAAGCACACGTAAGTTTACATCTGATTCAGTATGGCATATGCATCCAATTATCAGCAATTATGAAAATGTGCCTATTTCCGTTTAGCCATACACATCCTGTAAGGGAATGTGAAACATGGAATTATCTGTTTCTCCCACATTCCTATTCCTGTATCTCTCCCCCTCCTTTTTTTTTCCACTTGTTTGTCTTTCCCTGCTCCTTGAAGAAAGTCAAGTCACCCTAAAGAGCAGACATTTATGAGCCAGCAGATTCATGTTTTTGCTACCAAACAGCAGTACTTTCCTGGAGGTACTGGGAGCAACTGTTTGAAACATACCTGCCACATCCTAATCTGTTTTGAATTGTGGAAGCTGCCTCCAGGTGAGCAGTGCTGCTGGCATGCAGAAGCAGCTTGTTTCCTAGTGTTGATTGATAAATGTACTAAATATTCTCTTTCTTCACTTTCTCTTTCTCACTTCCTTTACTTTCTCCACATCTGGAGGCATTTGATATGATATTTAAATATATAGTAAGGTATACAGGGATGGATCTAAAGGGGGTGCAGTTACATGGTCTCGCCACCCTTTGGCTGTGGGCCACATGCTGGCCTGTCAGCACAGCTCCTGACGGGAGCTCCACGTGTGCCGTGAGCTCAGCTTCTCAGCTGATTGATGAAGGGCATGCCTGGATCCCCTGTTTGCACACAGCCCCACCACCACTGCTCATCCCTTTTTCTCCTGCTGCTGAATTCTGGTGGAGTGGAGGCAGGAGGATGGGAAAGAGTGAACATCAGTGTTCAATGTCTGGACTCTGGAGCTGTGTGCAAAGTAGGAACTCCAGGCAGACCCTGTATCACCCTGCCAGTGAGCTCATAGAGCTCACATTGCATGCAGAGCTCCCAGCTCACTGGTATCCAAGGATCTCCGAGAGGGGGATGTGGAGACACCGCTTTTGGTTGTGTGGCAGATGGCAGTGAGCTGTCTTCACTGCATATGTGCCACATAGCTCAAGGGGGTGTGGCCACACCCCCGTTGCCACAATCCTGGATCTGCTTGTGGGTGTACAGATGGAAAAATCCACATGGTCATACAAGTCAATATAACAGACCACATAAGAGAAGTTGTATGCTACTTCAAGCATCAGTGTAGGTAGTGTGAAACTGAGCAATAGTAATGTCACTGAGCTACTAAGCTCCTATATCTATGGCAAAAAGTATTCAGAATTGTTGTATACATACTTTTATAAGCCACCCATTATGAAAGACTCTCTTGCCTTTGTGGCAGGCTATCACAGTCTTCACAGATTTTCCTCATTGTAGAATTATTTTTTTCATACTGATCACTTTTTTTGTACTGTAATAGGTTCCAGCAATTTGATGCTTAACATAATTCATTATTTCCAACCTTTCTATGAAGTAGTCTTAATGTACACTATAGGTTTAACTTTTCTTACATATTGGTAAAGAGGAATGTCTAAGGCCTTACTGGTATACTAAAAAGAATGGTGACAATGTGCACAATCTTCACAATATTTTCATAAAAAGAAAGACCATTCCAACATTATATACTCTTAAAGACTGTTGCCACATTATTTGTCATATCTTATTCTTATTTGCATACCACTGAGTTTACATTCTAGTTGCATATGTACAACATGAAGGTATTCTGCTTTAAACTAGGTGGCTGTACTGCTATCCCAGAGTCTGACTTGGAGGAAAGAACAGCTGTACAGGACCCCACACCAATATTTACCGACCACAAGCACCTCACAAAGCAGAAATCCAAACCTGGTAAGAACTAAAATTATTCTTTCACACTTCAAATACAAAGCAAATGTATTCAGGGCTTCATGTGTGCACCATGGAGGTTCACTGAAAGAGGCATTTCCAACTTCGCTGGTTTTTTTTTTCCTGGGTAGTGACTGAGTACTTTTCTAAGATTACTGTTCCATTTTTCATGGTTCAATTGCATTTTATAATTTTATAGCATTCTCTAATTATTCAGGATTTTTTCCCAAAGCATTTCCTTGAGGAATTCCAGAAAACTGCCAGTGTAGAGTTATCTAGCTGAAGTGAACAACTTACCCTCTGTTGCAAAAATCTGTTGATATGCCAAGTACGGATGAGGTAGCTGAAAACTTTAATCTAATCTCTTCCTCAGCTAAAGATTAGGTAGAGATGAAGGTTGGATATTTCTTGTTAATAAACATTTTTTTAATCAACTAGTACAAGTTGATTCAAATATGGTCATTTATTGGTGGAAAATACGGTCATTTCCTATGGTAATTTCAAGATTTCCTAAAATTTCAGAACAATACGATTTTATTTCTAATAAAACAGTATTCTGTTGGATACAAAATATAGTATATACAGCCATGACATATTTTCTGAAAGTACTAAAAAACGGACACTTGTAAGATCCTTATGCAGTTACAGAAACAGGTGAATTGTGTGCAAAATGCATACTTGTATTTATTTATTTGGAAACACATATAGCTGCTTGCATGCCCAACTACATGACTGTGTATTTTGTGTATATATATATTCACTTGTGATAAGTAGAAGGCAGGGTAGGGTGACCCTGTCCTGGTTCATTTAGTCTCTAAGGGCAACTTTTACATGTGCTCTGGAGTGGGGGGTGGAGCCTTTAATTATAGGAGCTCTCAGGAGCTGCTCTAATTAAAGTGCCTGCAATGTCTTGTGTATTCAGTGTCCCGTGCTTCAAAATGGCAGTGGGGGCACTTTAAAGTTTGGTCGATTTTGAAGCACGGGGATGCTGAATACATGTGATGCCAAAGCTGCTGGAGTGTATTAATCAGCATGCTCCAGGAGACTCAGTTTATCAAGTCTGCTCCTATGTATGCTAAGTAGCACGCTTTGGGGCAGGCTTCGAGCACGTGTGTAGGTGCCATAAGGTGCTACCCTGCCCAGACTTCAGACTGACATGGTTAACCTCCTCTCTGATAGTTAGTATAACTGCTATTTTCACCTTGACTTAGTTTCTTTGGCAAATAGGTCCAGAGGGAAGATGCAGCAGTATGAATTGAGTTAAAAGTGAATGATGCAGAGCAGGGGTCCTGCACGTAAATCAGCTTAAACAACTATCTTAATTTAATTATACATAATGTGTTGGGAGCATTATTTAATTACACAGCTCCAGAGAGAGCGATCCAAGAAATAAGCAGCAGTGTTCCTTTTACTAGCCCAGGACAAATTGGAAGAGGATCATGGGGAAAATATATACAGCTTATTTGATCAGACAGAACTCCTGAATAGAATAAGCAAAGGTTGAATCAATTTGGCCTGGATTTGGTATAAGAAATTTAAATGACTGTTTTTGTTGTTGATGTTTTAAATGTATCCCTCTGCCTCAAAAAAAATAATTGATTTTTATTAGTAGTCTTGACAAAATGCTTTCAGCTGGTACTGTTCTACAGCATTCTGATCTCCAAAATGAATAGCAGATATCACATCACGATAGCACCAAGAAAAGTCTGTAGAAGGTCTTAGTGGGTCAGAGAGGCAGAACACCTGCCTTCACCATTGATTTCAGCGTAGAAGGGCAAGAGA